CTACTGCTCTCCTCCCTTTTGAATAAGGGTATTATATTGACAGTTTTCCAATTTGGGGCATTTTTCAGAATCTAAGGATTCTTGGAAGATTATACGAGTGCATCCATCATCTCTGCACCTATTTTTAAAAAAAAACCTAGGTTGCATCCCATCAAGTCCAGGGGATTATCATTTTTCAGCCTCATTAATTTCTCTAGTCCTCTATCAGAAAGTATTTATTTCCTGCCCTTTTTTATCATTTGATTATTTAGTATATTTGGAATGCTGTTTGTGTCTTCTACTGTAAAGACTGATGCAAAGTATTTCTTGAACTCCTGCTGTTTCCTGGCTCCCCATTATTATTTTACCAGCCTCGTTCTCTAAGGAGCTCCTTAGAAAACTCTTTCCCCTTTTGTTTTCTTAGTTTTTAACTATTTACCAATTGCATTGCAAGGCAGCTGCTCCAGTATTTGAGGGGGGTGGGGGGACACAATGAACCTGTAAGCTCATTTCAATTGATGAGACTGGCACTCTATTGGAAAAAAAATGCCAATATAGAATGTAGGCTCCACTCAGTCTTTGAAATTTATTTATATGTGAATATTTTGAATATTTTTATTGAGCCTATTGAGTTGTGAGGTAGACTTTGAGGTTAGTTTCTTTAACATTACCACTAATTTTGGAGTCAGTTAGCTCAGTTGGCTGGACTGCTGGTTTGTGACACAGAGTCCTACTAACAGCGCAGGTTCAGTTCCCATAGCAGCGGAGGTAATCATGAAAGTCCCACTTTCTCAACCTCGCCAGAGGTGTGGTGACCTACAGGATGAATGAGGTAGCAGCCCTACAGTCCTTTGGGACTATAGCAATATTGGTAAAGTTGCCAATATTCTGTCAGTCCTGAATTGTCACATTTATAGGATTTTGTGTGTTAAGTTAATCTCTCATTGATCATTCAAGAGTGCCAAGATCTCAAACACAAGTGTTTGAAGCATTCCTGAATGAACTTTCTCCGTTTTGATTGGTCGTAAGCCAGAGACTAGCATGAGTCAGCGGGGATGTGTGGCCTCTTCAAGGATACTTTGAGGACATCTCAAAAGCAATTCCTTCTCTAATTGCCTGAACATGTCCTTCTATAACCACGCTCCAGAGCTCCAATGTATTTTGGAGGTTTGGACAACCTACAGCTTTGGAGAAGTATCATCAGTGATGCCCGAATCCAATGGCAAGTGAGGTAGTTGAATAATACTTTCTTTTCCCATGCTACTTGCCAGCATGAAAGCACTAGTCTCTCAATGCCAGGCGTACTAGAATTGCCATTCTACTGGGAGTGATCAGCCATTTTTGAAAACCACAAGTGGAAGGAGGTTGAGTGCATCTTTTACTGGGTGTCCTGTGCACACCAATTGAACCCCAAAAAATTACTCCATAGCCATTTGTTCCTCCACATGTGGCCTCCAAAACCTGCCTCCCAACCTCACTCTTTTAACATGTCATTTTATGGCTGCATCTAAGAGTACAGGTTCAAGATGGAGTAAAAGAGAAACCAAGGTGAAGAACTATCTCCAAGCAATTTTCTGAAGAAGGGTCTAGGCCGGAAACGTCAGCCTTCCTGCTCCTCTGATACTGCTTGGCCTGTTGTGTTCATCCAGCTCTACACCTTGGTATCTCCAAGCTTAAGCTTCTTTAGAACTCTGTTACATTCATTATAAAACTGAACATTGTTTAACATGCTAATCTGAGATATACCAGGTTCACACCTTAATGTTTAAGTTGAAAGACTGTTATCTACATGTGCCTCTCTTTCAAGTCTAATTAACTCCTCCCACACAGTGTTATTTATGCCTATCGGGGAGCATTTTTGTGACATAAGTGCAAGGCCTTTCTTCGATCCTAAAACCTGTTTACAATACCCACTTCCCCTAGCCTACCCAGTTCCCTCTGATCCTGAAAGAAAGGGTCTTAGCTCACTCTGGGATCTATCAAAGTTCTACATAGGCCTTCTCTTAGCAATGCTCCCTACTAAGCTCTAGTACTGCTGTGATTGCTAGAGCTACTGACCAATCAGATTGGCTGCCAGCTCTCAAGAGTGGGACATCTTACCATCAAGGGTTGGAAGTCCCACACTCAGCCTGTTTCCCATTCCATTAAGGGGTGATCACTGCAGGGAGGGCCGCATCAGCTTCTGGGCAACACTTGCAGCATTCTCCTACCTCAAGACCTCCAAAGCAACTTCTCCACTTGAAACATGGTCATAGCTAGAGATGTCCAGGAAGCTAGAGGAGGAAGTGCTTTGGGGATGTCCTTAAAGTATCCCTGAAGAGGCCACACATCCCCACTGACTCATGGGAGTCCCTGGCTTATGAGCAAACAGAATGGAGAAGATTCACACAGGAATGTGTCAAACACGGCAATAAACGTCATTGAGAATGCATGGAAGCCTGGTTCAGGTGTTGTAGGCAATGCATGAACCTCCAACTAACCCATCCACCCAACCCTTCAAGCTCCCCTGCACCACATATGGCAGAATCTGCAGAGGACTTATCAGCTATTTCAGAACCCATTGGATGAGAGTGGAAGCAAATGCCTGTCATGGATTTTACTTTGGTATCAGCACGCCATAAAAATGTGGAGTTTTTCAGGCTTTGGGTACGGCAAAGGTGAACCTTGACAGCTCAGAGCCATTGAGCATGGAAACAGACCCTTCGGTCCAACTAGTTCACGCCAAGCAAGTTCCCAAACTGAAAATGTCCCACCTGCCTGCACTTGACCCATATTCCTCCAAACCTTTCCTATTCATGTACTTATCCAATGTCCTTTAAACATTGTAATGCTACATGCATCCATCACTTTCTCTGGCATTCATTCCACACACGAACGAATCTCTGTGTAAAAAAAAAATGTTGCCCCACAGGTCAGAATCAAAGAAGACGTATAGATTAGAATAAACCGCCAGGCGATTTCAAGTTTGCACAAAATGGGCAAAGATAGAGCCTTTTCAAAAACACAACATTACCTTGTGAATAATAACTTGAAACAATGTCCATCGGTCTACACTTAACAGCTCAAAAAGCTAAAAGGAGAGGTGAGATAGAACCATTCTCAAAACAGTTATGCACTCAACCATCAAGAAAAAATGTAGGATTTAGGGAGAGAGACACATTGTAGCCTCAAATCCTATTGGAGGGTGGGAGGGATCATGTGACAGATCTATTCTCAGAGCCATTCTTCCAGGAGAGAGGGAGAGTCCTGGAACCTACATTCTGGGAAAGTATTAATTGCATGGGGTCAGAGGGACACTTCATTTTCTTAGGTGCCTGGACCTTGTTTATTTCCAGCCAGGTTTGAACAGAAGAAGTGGGTTTGTCAGTATTTCTTAAATACTGTTGTGATAAAAGCAGAATCCTGTGGATGCTGGACATCCAGAGCAAACAGAGAATGCTGGAGAAACTCAGCAGGTCTAGCAGCATCTGTGGAGAGACAGAGTTACATTTCAAGTCCGGCTTAACACTTCTTCAGAATGGGAAAATGTTTTATTTTACTTCTGGCAGACGTAGAAAAGGATTGGCAAGGGGGAAGATTGTGGTGGGGGGGCTCCCAGCAAAAGACAGGGGAATTGTTAAATGGTGGTACAAATGAAAAATAGATGTATAATGGATGTGAATGGAAGAGAATGGATCCTCTTTACCCAAGTGCAAAGTAAACAAGACAGAAACAACTCAAGGCTGTTGGGGCAGGGGAAGGGAACGTAACAAAAACAGAGAACAGAAGGGTCTGGGCCCGAAATGTCAGTCTTCCTGCTCCTCTGATGCTGCTTGGCCTGCTGTGTTCATCCAGCTCTACACGTTGTTGTCTTATAACAGACATAATGTGGTCAGTTTCTGAAGTTACGGTATTCAGTGTTGAGACTGCCAGGCTATAATTTGCCCAAGGGGAAAATGAGGTGTTGTTCCTCAAGTTTGCATTTTGCTTCATTGGAACTAAATCAAGGCCTGGACAAAAATGTTCAGATGAGAACAAGGTGGTTTACTGAAATGGCAAGCAACTGGGAGATCAGGGTCATTCATACAGATCAAGTGGAGATATTCTGCAAAGCAGTCACCCAGTCTGCATTTGGTCTTATCAAGGGAAAGGACACTGCATTGTGGGCAGTGAATGCAGTAGACTAGCTTAAAACAAGTACAAGTAAAACACTGCTTCAC